AAGTCTCCTTTATTCACTCAATGTGAGTGTCTACTCTATGCCAAGTGCTGTCTGGGCTTTGGAAATCCAGCAGGGAACAAAACAAAGTGTCACAAGTCAAAGAAATTTTTGAAAAATATAACAGGATATTAAAGAGGAATACTCTCAGTCTCAGTTTCAACCAGAACCCCAAAGGCCAAGAACAAGGCAATAAGTGCCAAGTACCTTCGCATCCTGCAGCCAGGGGCTAGACCTTCCTGGGCATGACTTGCTAAGAGATTGAAGCCACTGCCAGCATGAGCAGCCACCCATGTGCCACCTATGAAAGGAATCTGCTGAAGGCTGAGAGAAGCATTTCTCTGGGGAAGTTGTTCACATGCTAGGCATCCCACTGGTATGTGTATGAAGCTGGGTGCTGGGGGAACCAGATTCCATTGCTCAAGCAGAATGTGTGGCATGGGAAGAGAAAAGAAGGTGGCGTACAGAGCCTTCTGGAACCCATACTGAAGGAGGGAGCAGAGGTGGATGAGCCTGCAAAAGAAGACAGATGACTGATTGGTCAAAGAAGTGTGAAAGGAAGCAAGACAAAGGTGTCCTAGAATCCAAGAGAGGACAAGGTTTCCATAACAGTGGTAAAAAACACAGGTTTTAGAATGATTCTTACCCAAGCATGAATCCTGGCTTAACCTTTAACTAGCTGTGTAACTTCACTTCTCCAAACCTGGATTTATTTCTCTTAAAATGAGTGAAATGTGCAACGTTTGGGGGATGGTCACGCTTGAGGCTCTGACTCAAGGGGGGAGGGAGGGCATGGGCAATATATGTAACCTTAACACTTGTACCCCCATAATACACTAAAATAAAAAAATAAATATTTACAAATGGACCCCCCCAAAATGTGATTAATAATACATGTCTCATATTTTTTTAAGTCTTAGATGATATCAGATGGTGCTTTACACTGTGTCTAATATATAGCAAATTCTGAAAAAATTTGAGTTGTGTTGTTATTATAATAAGGAAGTAATTAAATGTACCAAATGCAGTAGAACAGGGGTCAGCAAACTTTTTCTGTAAGAATTTTAGGCCTTGAAGACCATAGAGTCTCCATCCCAGCTATTCAACTCTGCCATTGTAATGTGAAAGCAGCCATAGGTAACATGGGTATGGCTGTGTTTAAATAAAACTGTATTTACAAAAACAGTTGGCATGTGGATTAGGCCCCCAGGATGTAGTTTGACAACACCTGAACTAGAAATGATGTTTAATAGTAACCTTTAACTTATAATGTTTTTGGTCAAGTAAAATAGAGACTGACCTTTGTTTCCATGATTTGGGACTTAAGAGGTCATTTATTGATAAGCTTTGCAGGATCAGTTGCTGGATAGTGATGAGTACAGAAACCTGATCTAGGCTTGAAAAAATGAATGTGAAGTAACAATGTGGATACCAGAAGCCTAGACCCTTATTTCAAGGAACTTGACCTTGAATGAAAGGAGAATGTATAATCAAGAAGGGGTATCAGGTTCAGAGAGCATGTATTTTATGTTTTACTTTTTGGTTTTGGTTTTGGTTTTGTTTCCACCTGAGGGGTACTTGAGTGTATTTATAGGCTCTAGGGAGGAAGCCAGTACAGAGAGCAACAATAAAAATATGGGGAAAAGACCTTTAAAAAAATCAGAAACAAATAAAACCCATGAAATAAGGTGTGTCCTGGCCTTTTTAGCAGGTACACCTTAGATATTGGGATAATACGTAGAAGAAAGAGAATAGTATCACTTGCAGACTCTAGGGAAATTTTATTAACCTTAAGAGACTAACTGGTAACATGGAAACTCACAATACAAAGTCTCTAGCACTGCTACCCCCAATAAAGGAATACTATTTAATAGCTTGGAAAAAGTTAAGCTCTTCTCTACATTGCATTATCTTCCCAATCAGTATCCATGTTACCGTAATATCTACAAATATAATAATTAGCAGTTATTAAGAAAGACAATAAGTTTGCAAATTCATTCATTTCTAAAACAAACATTTATTGAGCACCCACTATGCTACACTCTTGTGGGTGGTACAGTCGTGACAAAGTTCCTGCACTCATAGAGCTTACATTCTGTTAGCTTTTGCCTCTAGTTTGGAGACATTTGTCTTCAGAAGTCTCATCTAGTGATCTTTTTGTGCTTTTTCACAACTTACATACAGCATCCATTCATTCTACTAGTACATCAGCAAATGAATCTGAGTGCCCCTGACATCTTGGCACCAAGAATAATACTTAGATTTCTTCACATCCTCTCCAATGCCCAGGACCAATAGATACAATGTTTATAAAAATTACAGTAATTCTACATGTCATATAAGGGAAAGGAAAAGATCCCAAATCTGTGACTACACAGATATTACAGAAAAAATGGAAATCACTTCCATCAATAATTTTTTCCAGAGCCTGTCCTAAATGTTTTATATCCATTATGTTATTTAATACACATATTAACTCTAAGGTTTTAGACATAAGGCAATGGAGTCTAGGAAAGATTAGGAAAACTCACTAGTAGGCAAGGCGCAGTGGCTCACGCCTATAATCCTAGCATTCTGGGAGGCCGAGGCAGGAAGACTGTTTGAGCTCAGGAGTTCAAGACCAGCCTGAGCAAGAGCAAGACCCCATTTCTACAAAAATATAGAAAAATTAGCTGAGTGTGGTGGCATGCATCTGAAGTCCCAGCTACCCAGGAGGCCGAGGCAAGAGGATCACTCAAGCCCAGGAGTTTGAGGTTGCAGTGAGCTACGATGATGCCACTGCACTCTAGCCCTGTTACAGAGAGAGAACCTGTCTCAAAAACAAACAAAAAAACAGCTTTCCTGATGGTTCTGATGTGCCCTAGAGTTTGAGAAGCTTTGTTGTAGGAAGATTTTCTAACATCAGCTGAGCTATCATGATGAAATCGTAGTTTTAATGAGTGGCAATTATGGTTGCAGGAAAATAGGAGGCTCATTGGGCATAGTGAGGTATGGTCTTGGTGGGAGTAGAGTGGCTATAGTAGAAAAGGAGGAGGTTTGGGTGGCCACAGAGTGTGATGAAAGCAGAGGTACTTAGGGTCATGGAATTGATAGAAAAAGAGAGCTGAGAATGGACTGAAGGAGGAGCGTATTGCAGATGCTTGCCATTATAAGGTGTTAATACCTTCTTTTGGGCTGAGTATAATTTTATTTATCTTAAAGATAAGCAAAGAGGAGTCAATTTTAAAACATGTAGAGATTTAAATAATTTCTTCATCCACAACAATATTAAACAACTTCCAGATATTACCCATACTCGTGTGAGATTTCTTGTTTGTTCAGTTTTCTGGGTGGATCTGGATCTTCTTCCTCATCTCCCAAACACACCCAAACACCCTTTTTTGGTGGATCATCATAGATTTATTTGAATGGGGTGGAGGGGGTGTTATCTGACCTCTTTTATTGCCTCCCTTGAGCAGCAATGATTGACAGCATTGAGATCAAGTCATAAACTCAGCATTTCCTTTGGGGTAGCTCAGTTGGTTGACGCTTCTTTTAGAGGCTCTTGGGGGGAGTGTCAAACAGCAAGCTGGTCCAATTTTGCAAGGGAAAGTTTTTTTATAGAAACTTTAAAAGCATTACATATTCTATTCTGCCAATGTGCAAAAGAGGTCCTTTTGGAAAAGGTCAAGCACAGATCTTAATGTGATTTAGGAACAATAGACAACAATCTCACAAGAGAGGGAGAAATTAAACAGATTGCTACAGTAAGAGACGGTCTTCCTTGGATTTGTTACGTTCCTACACATCTTGCTAGATGTGCCAAAAATATAAGGCCATGACCCCTCTTTATGTGGGCCATTTTTCAGGGTTGTGGCAAGGAACCTTGAGGAACTGGTTATTGTTTCCTTCCAGGACCAAGAGCAGGTTTAGCAGGTTTGCTTACTGCTTGCTATAGAAGTGGTCAATCACCTAAGCTCAATGTTCCTTTCTTATAACATAATTTAGTATGAATGCAAGAGTCTCTGGTTCCTGTGCACTGCCCCTACAGGCAATGTGGGACCAAGGAGAACAAATATTCGGTGATCATGCTGCTTGCTGTTTTGTGAGTAACATAAGTCTTTGACCCAGGAATCTCACGTCTTCTTCCAGCATCTGTGAAACATTAAGAGATTAATATATTAGCTTGTATATAAGGTAAAATCAAATTACAGATCTGATAATTGTATGGTAATAATTAGAGAGTTTTAGTCCTCTTAAGAGGAATTTGTTCAAGGATTTCCTGGTATAGGGTATTAGGAAGGGAGCAAAGACTAGAGGGAGTAGTAGGGTATAGGATCAGGCTATTGAGCAGTAAGTAAAAGTGTTCAAAGGGGTGTTTCATCATAGGTGGCTATACACATATACATACACCTATTATGGGGACAGTACTCCAAATTGGTTTGGAAAAGGAAAAGATGATATTTCTTTTCTAATAATTGTTAACCTCACCTTTGGATGAGTGTATGTTGTTCTAAGGGTAATAAATAGTGGCACAGCAATTTCCATAATCTTCTTATATGGCCCAGACAGTCAAATGGAATACTTTACTGCCAAAGTGGGTGAAGGGTGTTTCATTTTGGGGGCAATGACATTTGCTACTTATTAAGCTTTTTTCCCCCTCGTCAATGGATCTTCATGCCAAAGTCTTTAACAGTCGCTTTTCCCTATTGCTAGAGGATGTGAAACCTGAGGTAAAAAATGTTCAAGTGAAAGAAGAGTAAGTTGGTAGGACGGGGCTGTGGAAGACAGCCGGCGAAAGAGCTGCAAGTAAAGGATTGTACAGATATCGTATATGTTATTGCTCTCATCCCACTGTTTTCTCCTTGACGTGTTGGCTGACTCAGAGAACATAAGGAAGGTAGTTCCACAGCCATGTGAATTGCAACTTTTCAGAAAGGTGAACCACAGAACAATTGTATTCTAAACCGATGTCATTAGATTCTAGAGTCTTCTGTCATCACATTCTCTGTTATTGCCATGTTAATTCCACAAGCAACTCAAGCATTCAGTCTTCTGACCTGTTCCACCTACACAGGGCATTTCATGGCTTAAGGATGATGGCCTAGAAGGGAAGGGAGAGACGTAATTTGGATTCAGTTCAATATGGGAAAATGCTTAAGGTAAGCCTTTAAAAAAAACACCTCATCCTGTGTTTCACATGTTAAAAGAACATTGAAAACATTCATAAGCCAAGCTTTAGCACTTTCTTTAGTTTCTCACAATAACTAGAAATATCTAGAATGTCTGGACACTTAGCTAAAACGTTCTCCCCAGAGAGGTTAATAGTTAATGTTTTAAAATGCAATTAGTCAATAGGCTATAAGTTTATTCTACTTAATTCCTTTAAATACAGTAGTTTAATAGTCTCAACACATATTGTGATTTATTATCTTTAAAACTGGAAGTTCTTGGCTCACGCCTGTAATCCTAGCTCTCTGGGAGGCCGAGGCGGGCAGATTGCTCGAGGTCAGGAGTTCGAAACCAGCCTGAGCAAGAGCGAGACCTCGTCTCTACTATAAAATAGAAAGAAATTAATTGGCCAACTAATATATATACAAAAAATTAGCCGGGCATGGTGGCGAATGCCTGTAGTCCCAGCTACTCGGGAGGCTGAGGCAGGAGGATTGCTTGAGCCAGGAGTTTGAGGTTGCTATGAGCTAGGCTGACGCCACCGCACTCACTCTAGCCTGGGCAACAAAGCGAGACTCTGTCTCAAAAAAAAAAAAAAAAAACAAAAAAAACCGGAAGTTCTATCCTTTCCTTCAGGTATCCTTTAGTTCTGGTATTGATTCCTGTATTTACCCTGGTCTGTCTTCCTACCTGTGTCCCTGGTTCTTTCAAATTCTCTTCCCAAGGTTTAGTAGAGTGGGCAGGTACTGTCTAGGTAGAGATAATCTTTTAGGCTCATGCATTCTTTTGGGTGTGACCATCAACTTCAGCTACCCTGTTTTTCTTGTTCCCTGTTGTTCCCATGTTGGTAAGGTGGCTATTATTCTTCAGGAGGCTTGGCAGTTCTCCACCCTGCTCCCTATTTTTTTTTCCTCATTTGACCCTTTTTTCACTCTAGCTGCTGTGAAGAGGACCAGACCTTCCAACCACATGGGAATCAAGTTACTTCAGACTTCCGGCATCATGGAGCCTCTTCTGTCCCACGATCAAGTAGCTATCTTGCACTTAAAACATCTCGCCCCTCTGCAACACATAAAGCCAGTTTATCCAGAGGAAGAAAAAAGTCATGGCTTTCATCAAGTTCATCTTTTTCTGGAAAAAGTTGTTCTTTATTTAGATTTCAAAAAAGCAATTCTTCTATTCACCGGCAACAAAGTAGAGCAAACTTTGATTCTCAAGAATACCTAAGCTGCATTGATTTAAAATCTTCCTCAGACCATTTTGGTGTATTTAGAACCCACAGATCATTCCCTTCCCATAAACTAAGTGTCGTTTCCTGCTACAAGAGTGCCATTTGTTTTGATCCTCAATCAGAGAGTCAAAACATGCTTATTATGAATGAAATTGAACTCTTTTCTGGAAACCAAAGCAATACTGCTGCTGAAAAACATATAAGCTCCTCTGCTCCCAAATATACCACTAAAAACTTTAAGAATTTTGAAACAGCTGCTTCTTCGGCCCATGTTCAGAACACTATTGATGGAATCCCCAATCAGCAAAACACAGCATCCTTCTTCCCTCTTGCAACTGTTGTTGCTTCTTCCCATCAACAAAATGGAATTGCTACTGATACACAACAAAGAGGCCAAATAAGTAAAGATTTGAAAGATTCCCTTCATAGTGGTTCTCAGAGTCACAGCACAAAGTATTCTCCAGCTATGACTGAACGGCATCCCTCTCACCATGTAACTTCTCCTAGTCTCCATTCTGTTGGATTTTCTTCATCTCCCAAAAAAGCTGGTAGCTTTAGCTCACCTCCAAATGAAACTGCCTTAAGCTCGTTTGAAGATGAAAACTTGACTCAGAATGAAGACCTATCTTCACCTGCTGAAATTCCTTTAAAAAGGTCATCTCAGACTTTACCACTCTTGTAGAAGGGCAGCTCAAATCAGACATTTTCACACCAGTCACTCACTCCATAATCTAGAAATCACTGCTCACTTCTCACACAACTCCTCTGTCCTCACTAAGCTTCCCTGCATTTTCTGAAAAAGATTCCTATATTACCATATAAATTTAACTTTGATTGCTGTACTTTTAAAAGTTAGTTTATTGACATTTTGGGAATATGGAAATCAAAGATGATTTCACCTGTTTCGATTTTTTTTTTCAGATTTATGGCCTAAAGATTGACTAGTTCGAAATTTTTGAGTGACTATTAGAATACTTCTGCAGTCTGAAAATAACATCAAGATGTATAGCTCTTCTAAATGTAATACATTCTCTGAGAGTTTAGTGCTTTCTTTTATCTTACTCTAATCGTTAGAGATAGTATTCCTACATAATCTATAGAGTTATATTCATGAATTCACACATTTTCATTTATATCAGCCTTGCTACTATATTTCTGATGCCAGACATACACTGATATGTGACGTTTTTACCAACACAAGAATCAAATTATAAAGTTAAAAAATATTATAGTGGAAATATGTAGAATATTTAGAAACCAGATATTTTAACTAACTTAAGTATGCATTTGTGTATGCACAAATCTGGGAGTTAAGGGAACTCTGAAATCTGAGGTAAAAGTGTGTATAACAGTCTCTAAAAATAAAAATTTTATTTTTAGAAGTGACTATTTTTTAAATTTTTCCCATTATATTAAACAAAGCTTATAAATGCCCTTATCAGAATAACTGAGTAGAAAATGCATATAGGCAATTAAAAACACTTAAGTTACAATACAATTAGACTTCATAGAGGAAAGGAATTTGCATTATTTTAAATTATTTGTTATAGTAAAATGCCCCCCAAATTTATACCATTGGGTTAGGATGTTTTTACTTCTGTGGTTTTCTCTTCCTCCTATCATGTATCTTTTTAAAAAAATTCTTTTGATTTCAAATTTTTTAGTTGTGATGAAATATACATAACATAGCATTTACCATTTTAACCATATTTTAGTCTATAGTTCAGTGGCATTAAGTACATTTACATTGTTGTACAACCATAGCCATCTCTACAGCTCTTTTCACCTTGCAAAACTAAAACTCTCCACCCGTTAACAATAACTCTCCATTCCTTTCCCCCCTGCCCTTGTAAACCATTCTGCTTTCTATGTTTTTAACTACTCTAAGTATCTCATGTAAGTAGAATTATATAGTATTTGCCTTTTTGTTACTGGCTTATTTTACTTAGCATAATATATAGTGTCCTTAAGTTTCACCCATGTTGTAGTATATGTCAGAATGTCGTTCCTTTTAAAGGCTGGGTAATGGTCCACTGTATGTATATATTACATTTTGCTTATCCATTTATCAATCAATGGATAACTTGGCTTGCTTCCACATTTAACTGTTATGAATAATACTGCTGTGAACATGGGTATACAAATACCTCTTCAAGACAGTGCTTTCAATTCTTTTGAATATATATGCAGAAGTGGAATTGCTGGATCATATGGTAATTCTGTTTTTAATTTTTTGAGGAACCACCATATTGTCTTTCATAGTGGCTGCACCATTTTACATTCCCACCAAGAGTGCACAAGGATTTCAATTTCCCTACTACCTTGAAAACACTCATTATTTTGTTTTGTTTTGTTTTGTTTTGTTATAGTAGCCATCCTATTGGGTATAAGGTGGTATCTCACTGTGGTTTTGATTTGTATATCCCTAATGATCAATGATGTTGAGCATATTTTCATGTGATTGTCATTCATTTTGTATCTTCTTTGTAGAAATGTTTATTAAGGTCCTTTGCCTATTTTTAAATCAGGTTGTTTATTTTTTTGTTGTTGAGTTGTAGGTATTCTTTACACATTCTGGATATTAACCCCTTATCAGAGATATTATTTGCAAATATTTTCTCCCAATGTGTGAGTTTCTTTTTCACTCTGATAATTGTGTCATTTGGTGCACAGAAATTTTAGATTTTTATAGTCTAATTTATTTACTTTTTTTCATTGCCTGTGCTTTTGGTCCCATATCTAAGAAATCATTGCCAATACAGTCTCATGAAGCTTTGCCCTATGTTTTCTTCTAAGAGTTTTATAGTTTTAGTTTTTACATTTAGGTCTTTGATGCATTTTGAATTAATTTTTGTGTATGGTGTTAAGTAAGAGTCCAACATCATTCTTTTGCATGTGGTTATCCGTTTTCCCAACACCATTTGTTAGAGAGACTGTCCTTTCTCCACTGAGTGGTCTTGGAACCCTTGTCAAAAACCATTTGACCATATATGTGTGAGTTTACATTTGGGCTTGCTATTCTGTTCTATTGGTTTATACATCTGTCTTTATGTCTTTACCTCACTGTTTTGATTACTATGGCTTTGTAGTGAGTTTGAAGTCAGGAAGTGTGAGACCTCCAACTCTGCATTTCTTTTTCAAGATTGTTTTCGCTATTTGGAGTCACTTAGGATTCCAAATTAATTTTAGGATAGATTTTTCTATTTATAAAAAAAAAAATCATTGGGCTTTTGAGAAGGATTATATTGAATCTGTAAATCACTGTGGGTAGTATTGACATCTTAACAATATTAACACATTGACTGCCACACAAAAAAATCAGAAACTTTTCCTTGGGGCCACAGTGTTTTATTATGAAAATAGAATAGAAACTTTTTTTTTTTTTTTTTTTTTAGTCACACAAGCCTTCCAGAGAAGAATAGAAACTTTAAGTGTAATTTAAAGGTAAACATAAATAGAAAAATGAAATTTATTGACAACTGTTCATTTAATCCACATTTTTAGAATTAAATTGTCAATATTAATTGTAACAATAAGAACGTCAACAAGATTTTATATGTGCTTCATGTGGTCCCAGGGTCAAAACTAGAGTGAGTTAAATATAACTCATGGCAGTTAATGTGTTAAACCTTCAAATCCATGAACACAGGATGTCTATCCACGTGTGTCTTTAAATTCTTTCATTAGCATTTTGTAGTTTTAAATGTATAAGCCTTTAAGTTCATTAGTTAAATTTATTCCAAAATATTTTATTCTTTTTAATGCTATTATAAATAGAATTATTTTCATGATTTCCTTTAGGGTAGCTCATTATTAATGCATAGAAATATAACTGATTTTTACATGTTGATTCTGCTGCTTTGCTGAATTTGTTTATTAATGCTTATAGTTTTTCTATGTGTAATATTTAGAGGTTTTTTTTCCTACATGTAAGATCATGTTGTCTGTGAACAAAATATAATTTTGCTTCTTTTTTTCCAGTTTGGAAGACTTTTATCTCTTCATTCTGCCTTCACTCTGGCTAGGACTTTAGCACTATATTGAATAGAAATGGTAAAAGCAGATATCCTTGTCATGTTCTCAATCTTAGAGGAAAAGCTTTCAGTCTTTCACCATTGAGCATGATGTTAGCTGTGGGCTTTTCATGTGTGAACTTTATTATGTTGAAGCAGTTTCCTTTTATTCCTAGTTTGTTGAGCATTTTAATCATAAAGGGATGCTGAGTTTTGTCATATACCTTTTTTTTCATCAATGGAGATGATCACGTGGGGTTTTTTCCTCTTCATTTTGTTAATGTCATGTATTAACATTGATTGAGTTTTATATGTAGTACCTTCTTGCATTTCCTGGAATAAATCTCACTTGGTTGTGGTGCATGATTCTTCTAATGAGCTGTTGAACAGAGTTGGCTGCTATTTTGTTGAGAAATTTTTGCATTAATATTCATCAGGGATATTGGTCTGTCATTTTCTTTTCTGGCAGTGTCTTTGTCTGTCTTTGGTACTACGGGAATGCTGGCCTCATAGAGTTAATTTGGAAGTGTTTCTTCCTCTTCAATGTTTTGGAAGAGTTTGAAGAGGACTGCTGTTAATTCTCCTTTAAATGTTCGGTGGAATTCAACAGTGAAGCCATCAAGTCCTGGGTTTTCCCTTGTTAGGAGGTTTGATTACACATTCGATCTCCTTACTAGTTATAGGTCTATTCAGATTTTTTGTTTCTTCCTGATTCAGTTTCATATGTTTCTAGGAATTTGTCTATTTAATGTATGTTATCCAGTTTGCTGGCATACAACTTTGCATAATGTTGTCTTATAATTGTTTTTATTTCTATAAAATTGGTAGTAATGTCTCCTCTCTTATTTCTGCTTTTAGTTATTTGAATCTTCTCTTTTTTTTGTAGTCAGTCTAGCAAAAGATTTGTCAATTTTGTTGATCTTTCTGAAGAAAAAACTCTTACTTTTATTAATTTATTGTTTTTCTAGCCTCTGTTTTGTTTATTTCTGCTCTGATCTCTATTATTTCCTTTGCTCTGCTAGCTTTTGATTTAGTTTGTTCTTCTTTGTCTAGTTTCTTACTGTGTAAATTTAGGCTGCTGATTTGGGACCTTTCTTTTCTAATGTAAGAATTTACAGGTATAAATTTTCTTCTTATTACCAGTTTGCTACATCTCATAAGTTTTTGTATTCTGTGTTTTCATTTTCATTTAATTCAAGATATTTTCTAATTTCCTTGTGATTTCTTTTTTGGCTCATTTGTTGTTTAAGGATGTGTTGTTTAATTTTCACATGTTTGTGGATTTTCCATTTTTATTTTTTTTGTTGTTGATTTCTAGTTTCATTTCATCTTCATTAAAAAAATATACTTTATATAACTTCAGTCTTTTAAAATTTATTAAGATTTATTTTTTGGCCTAACATATGATCTACCTGGAGAACATTTCACATGCATTTGAGAAGAATGTGTATTCTACTATTGTTGGGTGGCATGGTCTGTATATATTGTTAGGTCCAATAGGTCTATAGGTCTATAATGATGTTCAAGTCTTCTATTTCCTTATTGATCTTTTGCTTGGTTGTTTTGTCCGCTATTAAAAGTGGGGCATTGAAGTCTTTTACTATTACTTTGTTATTAAAGTAATAATGTTACTATACTATT